TTGAAGTCGTGCCCCCCTTCGCAGAATCCGAAATTGTCGAGTACTTGCTGGGGCGTCTGTCCATGGTCGACGTTCCCGATCCGCAACGGGCCCAGCCTCGGCGCGGCCCGTGTTGCGCGCAATGGTGCTATGTAGCCATGTCGGTGGTGTCGATGGTTGCCGCGTCTTTGGTAATGTCCTGTTCTAGGTGGGGGCGACGACGTAATCCATGCGTTTTTTCTTGCCCCCTGCCTGGCACGCGCGCGCTGGCCCCCTGCGCCCCGCCGCTGCGTTGACAACTGTCAGCTCGCATGTAGCGGGGTGCTTGTGGAAGCCGTTTCCTGCGTCCTCGTCCTCGACAGTTTCCCCATCGTCGCCACTGGATTCGGGCCCCGCGACTCCAGCGATCGCGATAGCGCCGGCCATGAGGAGGTCGATTAATAATTGGATTGCCACGTTGCTGAGCTCTGTCCAAACGGCATCGGACCTGCCATCTCCTGAACGGGCGCGGGCGGCGCGGGCCCCCGCCGCCGCGCGCCGCAGGCCTGTCTCTCTGCCAGTGCAAGCGGGCCCCCTTTGAAGCCCCTCGCGTTGCGAGTGGCCAACTCGATGTCAGTGCTGCCTCTTGCTGGCCTGGTCGATGCGCGGTCGGAAGCTCTCTGGCGCTGCCGCCGCTGTAGGCGCTAGTGCGCGCCGGCCGCGGCTGGTCAGCTCGGGGCGCGCCTTCCACCCGGCCTCGTGCGATCTCCACTGTCGCTGGTGACGCGCGCCAAAGGCAGCGGCCCATTCGGGCGGTCGGTTGCTGTCGTCTCGCCTTCTCTGTCGATTGGCTGCCCGCGTCGGTCAGACCGTTCCGCGGGTGTCCCGCGCGGGCGTAGACATGTTCGCGCGCGTTGGGTTCCGCTGCTGGATGGCCGTGCAGCTGCTTGGCCGGCACTGGCAAGTCATGGTTGGGGCGCGCTTTGAAGCGACCTCCTGCAAGCCCGTCGGCCGCCCTGGCACGGGCGCGACCTGCAGCGAGGGCGCCGTTGCCCGCGCCCCCCTGCGCAAATATCCACGCGCGGGCCCGCATCAGCACGATGCAGGGGCCGCGTCGTCGCTGGACTCTCCGTCCCCATCGGTGGGGCACGGTACGATCTGAGCGTGCTCGTCGGGGTCGACGGTGGCCCCCAACGCCCACCTCGCGCAAGAGTTTCGCGGCGGGGGTGCCGCGCGCGCGCTGCGGTAGCGGGGCGCCCCTGCCGGGAGCACCGATGACGATCCTGCGCGGCGGTCGGGCCTGGGGGATATCTCCTCGGCGGCGACGATGCAGTCGTTCCTCTTTGACTTAGGCGATGGGGCGTCCATCGACGCGACGTCCGGGCAGCCTCATCGCGCGAGGGTCCGTCGGTCGGTTGGGTCGCCCTGCAATTGTCGAACCAGGCGCCCATGCTGCATGCATCGGGTGTCGGAAGTGAAGGCACGTTGCATTCTTCGCTTCCGGCTGGGGGTTCGTCTCCGTCCGCGTCGGGCGTCGTAGTCGGAGTGCGACTTGCCCCTGTCGGATTGGATAGGTGGCAGTGGCATACGTTCGCCTCGCGTTGGAGGCGATGCGCTTGCCCCCCGGGCGTCGTTCTCGCACTGCTAGGTCGCTTCCGGATTGCGCAGGTTGAATCAACGCTGGCACGGTATCTCGCGTAGCAATACGCGCCGCTGCTTGCGGGGATCCATCGGCGCGGCCAAGACCTTCTCGACGGCGCCAACCGTCTCCGCCTTGTCGAGGCGCTAATGCCTTGGCGCCTAAGTTTGTCGCGCCCAAAATCGGAGCGCCTCTCGCGCGCGGCTTCCCGTTCTTTCTCTCCAAATGGCCACTTTTGCCGGCGTGCTTGGATCTCGCGATGGTGGTCTTCGGTCTGTTCTGCCGCGCCGATCTCCGTTCGTTGCAGCACCATCAGCACCAATTGCAGTTGGCCTGCTGCGCGGGCCGCGAGGGGTCGCGCTTGCACCTTGTAGCTGCGTGTGTCCATGAGCACCCTGCGGAAGTGAAGTTCGCCGTGTCGGCATTTTTCTGCATCCCTGGCTCGCGCGCTCCTTCCGATACCGGCGGCCCTCTGTTGGTGCTCCGCCTGGGCGCTCTAGATGGCCGCCTTCGCGCGCCTGTCCTGGCCCTGCAATTCGAGGTGTGATTTGCGGGGCAGGTTGTCAGAATCCCTCCAACGCTTGCGCGAGTGGACCTGCTTGCTGAAATCGTGGACACTCTGCGTTCCAATGACAGAAATGCGTCGTTCTGCGTCTCACCTTTTGTTGAAGTGCATCCCCCTTCCTATCCCAGGCTACGGCTGTCTAGCCATGAGCTGTAGCTGCCGCCGGTGGTTACTGCGGTCGTTGTCGTGCCTGGCGTGTCTGTGAAGAGCCTGTCTCAGCTCATTATATCTGTCGGCGGCGTGCTCGCGCCTGCCTGGAGCGGGGTCGCCCTTCCCGCTGCGGATGTCTTCTGTCCATATTGGCTTCGAGCTCCTCCTCCGTCTTCCGAAGTGCGCCCGCCGCAATAATCTGAATGTGCTCGTGGTGGGCCGCCGTCTTCTCGGTCGTGATTGCGGCATTCGTCAGCTCGTCCTCCATCCAGTGCCCAACTGCATGTCGTTTCTTAATTTGAAATTAGTGTGCGGTAGCTTCAACTGCTCGGTTCGGGCGTGTCGCTGTAACTTCTGCACTTCCGTCGCGGATGTATGTTTCGCCTTCTCATTCTCCGTGTTGCTCTGGTGGAGGCTTTCGAACTTCAGCTTGGCTTCGCTTCCTTTTTCTCAAGGGTTTGGTTATCCTCCTCGAGGGCATTGGGTCCTCGAGGGCATTGGGTCCTCGAGGGCCTTGGGCCTTCGCTTCTTCTTTCTCAAGGGGTTGGTTCGCTTCTCTTCTGCGAGGCGTCCTCCTCGAAGGCCTTGGCTCTCCCCCGCTCGCCTCTGAAATTTGGGTCGTTGGGTGGCGTTTCTCCAACCGTGCCTTCTGGTGGCGTGGTCCTGGTGCATGGGCATGACGTTGCTCGTGATGCTGTTGAGGTGGTCGCTGTTGTCATGGTTGGACTCCCTCTACTAATGTTTGGCTGCGGTGTCCTCTTTTTGCGTGGGTGCATGGTTGCCCTGGCCCCTCCTCTCCTTGTGTTTGCCTTTTTGCGGCCGGTTGCCGTCCTCAGCGTAATCATCGTACGGCTTGGGGAAGCTGCCCTTGCCCTTGCCGTCGGAGCCCTTGGTGTTCTTGTCGGCGCCGTTCTTCTAGTAGGTGGTGGGGCGTTGGGCTGCCCATTGTGCGGTCCATTTCTCTCGCCTTCACCGTCCGAAACATGCGCCGATCGTGGGTTCAGCTGGGCGCGCTGGTGATCCCCTGTTTGGCGTGCGGTTTGATGTCGGTATCCATGGCGGTGGTGTGCTCGATGGCCTGCTCGCGGTTGATCCCCATGCTGCCGCCAGTGCGGGAGCTTCTGGTGGATGTCGCGGTGGTTGCTGCGCACTGCGATGTGCTTGAAGCAGATATCGAGCGCTGTGAAGCCGGAGTGCAGCGCGGGCGTCAGCATGTTGCCGCCGAAGTCGCCTGTGCCAGGCGGGGCTGCGTCAGCAAGATGACGTTGTTGACGTGGCCCCGAGCAGGGGGCGAGAACAACAACACTTGTTGTGAATGTTGCGGTGCATATCACGGGCATGGTGGGCCTGGTGTGAAGGCCGCGCTGGCCGCAGCCTCGGCCCCCACTGCGGGGCAAATGGGGGCGGGATCGGGCGATCGCGGCTGTGCTCATTATACTCCTCCTCCTCCTCCTCCTCCTCCTCCTCCTCCTCTTCCTCCTCCCCCTCCTCCTTCCCACTCCTCGCCCACCCGCTCATCGTTCCATATAATCCTGCTGATTCAATGATTCCTCTTTCCTCCTGCTCATTTCCCTCATACCTATCCATCCTCCTCCTGCTCCTCGCCCCTCCCCTGACAGGGGGGGGAAACCACACGTCGCGGGCAACGAGCAACGGCAATTGGCAACTCGTGCTGGCTAGAATGAGCCTGGCGAGCGTTGCAACCACTGTTTGCTGGATGGGGTGTCACGGGTGCTGGCAGCAAAACTGACAGAACCTGACAAGACATGCTAGTGCCCGTCGCCTTGTTCCAAGCAGTTCCAAATCGCCGCGTCGAGCATCCTATCTGGAACCGTATCAGGTGGCTGGTTGCAGCAAGTGCTGACTGTATTGTACTTGATACCTCTCCTCTTCCACGTCCGAGCCCCTCCTCCCCCTACCTCCCGCGGCGTGACTGTTTCAATACATGGCGCAAGAGCTATTGGCAAATCCTCTGGAGCAGTTGATTCGCCAATGGTGGCATGGTGGCCCTGGGACCCGAAAAAGCCTCCTGAGCCCGAAATTGCAGGACAGTGTCCATATTGACAAAATGCGACGTCCGACGCCAAGATCCGCACCGTCCTTTTCGTCATGCTGCTTCCACCTCAGCTTCTTGGGCTATTGAAGTGGAATTGGGACACACAAATAGATAGACACAACTAACCAGATTCCCCATAATTTCGGGGTTTCTGTCTTCCCCCCACTTTCCACATTTTCCCATACTTTCGGGGGAATCGACGATTCGTTGTCTCTGTGTTTTTGTCCCCTCCTGAGCTATGTCAAGCGCACGCCGAGACGAGCCCGCTCGAGCCCCCGCTGGGCCCGTACAGAATGAGAGAAGCGGGCGCAAACGCCCGGCCGGCCAGGCAGAGGAAGACGCAGGCGGGCAAGGAGGCGGAGACGGAGGAGGCAGGAGGCGGAGGAGCTGCGGAAGCAGGGGGACGAGGAAGGAGGAAGAGATGAAGAAGCAGAAGAAGGAGAGGATGGGAAGAACAGTGGTGAGATGATAAGAGGCGAGGGAAGGAGGAGGAGGAGGCGGAGAAGGCCAAGGGGATCCCTCCGAGCCCAGACTGGCCGAACCCCCAGCTGAACTGCGCCCGATATGCAAGCAAAAGAGAGAGAGAGAGAGAGAGGCGGAAGAGGCGGGCGGCGGCGGCCGCGGAGAGCGGCCTCAGCGTCATGGGAGCCCGGCCTCCGGTGAGGTTGGCCGCCTTCGGGCTCTGCTGGTAGCGGCTGGGGGGGTGCACCACGAAGAACTCCTGGCGCTCTGCGCGCGGGCAGCGGCGGGAGCGGGCGCTCCCGAGACTCGGCAGAGGGGCAGCTCCGCTGCACGGCCTGTCCGCTCCCCCTCCCCTCGCCACCCCTCCCTCCTCCTCCCTGCGCCTCTTCCTCCTCCTCCCTGCCTCTCCTCCCCGTCGCCGGCGCCCCCCTCTCCCTCCATCCCCTCTCCCCCTCCTCCGCCATGCCTCCCTCTCGAGTTCTCTTCCTCCTGCTCCTTCCCCCCCTCTCCCTCCTCCTCCTCCCTCCTCCTCCTCCTCCTCCTCCTCCTCCTCCTCCTCCTCCGCCTAGGGTGGAATAGTCGGCACGAGCCTCCCCACTAGGGCTGCCAATGCAGCAGAGGCATGCCCTCCTCCTCCTCCTCCTCCTTCTCCTCCTCCTCCTCATCATCATCATCATCCTCATTATCACCCGTCACATCACTACAATCATCATCATCATCAGCATCAACAACAACAACCCGTCCTCCTCATCACCATCACCAACAACAACACCAACATCCGCATCATCCCCATCACACTGATCATCCTCATCATCACCATCGTCATCACATCACACTCGTCATCACCGTCACCATCACCATCAACATCCCAACCACAGTCATCATCAACATCATCATCAGCATCATTATCACCACATAGACATGTAGTTCTGTCTATATAGACATGTATATATATATGTGTGTATACGTATATATACATATGTGTATACGTATGTATACATATGTGTATGTATATGTACAAAATGGAGGTTGGGGGGAGATCAAAGTGGAACGGAGAGGCCCCCCGCCGGGAAATGGGTTTGGGTTTCGAGACGTGTCGTGCGTGCGGGCGAGGCGAGGCTGCGTGGGCGGGAGAGTGTCCGCTGTGGCCAGGTCGGGGCATGAGCCGTTGGCCGATCCGCCCCTCGGTGGGCGGGCGGTTGGAGGCCGGTGTCCCGCTGCGGTGTCCCGTGGGTGTCCCGTCGGTGTCCCGTCATTGTCCCGTCGGTGTTCCGTCGGTGTACCCTTGGTGTCCCGTCGGTGCCCCGCCGTGGTGTCCCGTCGATGTCCCGTTGGTTCCCCGTTGGTGTTCCGTCGGTGTCCCGTTGGTTCCCCGTTGGTGTTCCGTCGGTGTCCAGTCGGTGTCCCGTCGGTGTCCCGTCGGTGTCCCGTCGGTGCTCCCTCGGTGTCCCGTTGGTGTCCCAGTGGTGTCCCGTCGGTGTTCCGTCGGTGTCCCGTCTGCGCCCCGTGGTGAGATCGGTAATGAGACGGGTAATGAGATCGATAGTGGGGCCAAACGTAAGATCGATAGTGAGATAAAAGAGCGGTAGTGAAATTGAAAGCGAGATCAATTGAGAGATCGATGGTGTGATCGATCGTGAGACACATTGGTGTCCCTATGGTGTCCCGTGGTATCCGGTGTCCCGTCGGTGTCCCGCGGGTGTCCCGTCGGTGTCCTGTGGTGCCGCCTGGTGAGACCGATTCTGAGATCGATCGTGCAAATGGTGCTCCGATGGTGTCCCGATGGTGTCCTGATAGTCTCCTGGTGGTGCTTTGACAATGAGGTCGATCTAGTAGGAGCGATACTGGATCCACATCGAGACGCAGCATCGTCACCACGCGTCGTCGCCAACTCGAGGGTGCATCACCAGCATCGCCACCATGACAGTCATCGCAGTTGCCATCAGTTTGTCCTTCTCCCCCACAACCTCCTTTTCACCCGAAGGGTGGTTGTATAGGTGTGCGTGTGTGGATATATGTACTACATATATACGCAAACCTGCATTGGCGCTTCGCACCATGCACCTTGGTCCTTGCAGTTTGGCATGCTGGCGGAAGAGCAGAAACGTAAAACCGAAACAACTAATGATAACTCCTTGCTGCCTCTTTCCGACATCGTCGCTTTCTTCCCTCATGCTTCCTCTTCCAGTTTCCCATTCTCGCCTTGGAATTACTCCCCCATCCTCATCGGCTGTTTCTGCGGAAGCTCCTCCTTGGAGAGCCTGATGGGGAACTCACGAAAGTTCTTACGAATTTCTTGGGGCCTTCTGGAGGCCTCCTAGGTTCCTTCTGGAGGCCTCTGGGGGCTTCCTCGGGCCACCATGCGTCCAACCGGCGTCTCCCTGAACGACCAGGTCACGATTGGGAATGCTTCCGGGGCGTCTCGGGGCCACCTTGGGCCGTCATGGGGCTCTGAAGAACAGAGCTTTCCGAAATCATGCAAAAACCAGCGGGAAGTCAAATGTTTGGCTGCGTTTCGAAAGCCTCTTGGGGGTTTTCTTTGGGTCGTCTTCGGGCGTATGGTGGGTGTCTGGGGCCTCTTGGGGGTGGGGCCATTCGGCAGCCCTTCTGCCCGAAGTGGGAACGCTAGCCAGGCTCAACGGGAGCTTCAAGGAGCCCCAGGAAGCCGGGAGGACCTTCTGCAAGTACGTCCAGGGGCCCCAGGGGCCAAGGATCCAGGGGGCACCATTGGGGGAGGGACTCTCTCACCCCCCCGGATGGTAAAAATATAGTGTGTATCATCATCACCATCACCATCACCATCACCATCACCAACACCATCACCATCACCATCACCATCACCATCATCATCATCATCATCACCACCATCATCATCATCAGCATCGTCATCATCGTCACCACCACCATCATCATCATCAGCATCATCATCATCATCATCACCACCATCTTCATCATCATTTCCCTCCTTTTCCTCCCCTCTTCCTCTCTTCCTCCTCCTCCCCCTTCTGTGCCCCCTCCTCCTCCTCGCCCTCCTCCTCCAGACCCTCCTCCTCCTCCTCCTCCTCCTCCTCCTCCTCACCCTCCTCCTCCTCCGCATCCTCCTCATCTTCTCCGCTCTCCTCCGTGTCCTCATCGTCGCCCCCCTCCCCTCTTCTCCTCCTCCCCCTACTTCGTGCTCCAGTCCCTGTCCCTCTCCTCATCCTCCTTGTCCCCCTCCTCCTCCTCCCTCCTCCTCCTCCTCCTCCTCCTCCTCCTCCTCCTCCTCCTCCTCCTCCTCCTCCTCCCCGACCTCCTTTCTTCGACGTGCTCCCGGGCCAGCACCGGGCCACACAGCGCCCCAGGGCCCGCGGTCCGCCCGGCGTTACAGCGCGCCCGCGCCCGTGACAGCTGCAGCGGACATGCCCCGACGCAGCGCCCGGCCCCGCCTCCACCAGCAGTTACGGTGAGGGCTGCGGAGTAAAGAGCAAGTGTTATGTCGGGCGTGTCCCCCTGCAGGGGGATTTTCGACGAAAAAAAATATCCCAAAGATACCCCAAGAAGGTCAAAAAATAATGAAAAAATAGTGCACAGGCTATTTTTGGACGATGTTTTCATTATTTTTGGGGTATTTTTTGTTTTTCGTCGAAAATCCCCCTGTAGGGGGACAGGCCCGACTTAAAGCAAGTGGGTTACCCATTGGGGGGGGGCACCAAGGTGGGGTAGGGGCAAAGGTAGGGTTGGAGGGAACATCGCTCCGGACGGCCCCTGGAAAGAGAAGACGCGTGAAACGGAAGCATCGGGCTGGGCCCGTTCCCCAGCCCCACCTTGGGATAACCCTCCCTCTACGAACCCCCGAAACTACGAACCCAGGGTCTGGACGCTGGAGGAACTCGAATCGTGGACTGGCCATGGGAGCCTCCAGAGGCTGACACCTTCCAGGCACGCTCCTTCCAAGTGTTTTAGGGGTGCGGTAGGTATGCCCCCAAGGAGGCAGGTCAGGAAGATCTGCCCCCAAGGGGGCGCGGTCGAAGACAAAGAGGAGGCGGGCGCAGAGGGTTAGGATTTACGTGCTGAACTGCACGCGAGCAGATATGAGCGAACAGTCTCGAAATGATTGTTACTGTTGAATTCACATGTCTAAGGAACAATTGTTGTCGATCCCCCACCCTCCGGTAACCATTGTATGTTTCGATGAAAGAGCTTCTCCCAGGGCTCGCACCCTGATTTTTACAAGGGGAAGCGAGGGGCCACCAAGCTGGGACCCTGGGCCTCAGTTTACAAGAACAACGGCTCCTGCCATATACTTCCTCACAATGAATTCCCAAATCGCGCTCTCGCGCGGGATTCCCTCACAATGTATACAGGAATCGCGCTCTCGCGTGGGACTTCCTCGAAATTTGTTCAGACACCGCGCCCTCGACATTCAGAAATCACGCTCTTGCTTTGGCACTTCTCACGATCTACTCGGGAGTCGCGCTATCGCTCGAACCTTCCCCGCGACTCACGCAGGACTCACGCTTCAGCAACCCGACTGCCCCGTGCCCCTTCCCTCCATCTGTCCTCTCTTCCCCTGCCCTAGGGGCTGCACGAAATACACCTTGCAGGTGATAAAGATATACCCCAAGGGGGTACGATCGAAAACGAAGAGGGCGGGTATCGAGGGCTTGTGGCTACAACAGCAGCGGCTCACGCCTGATACTTCCTCACCATGTATTCTGAATTTGCGCTCTCGCGCGGGACCTCCGCACAACTGTTGCGGGAATCGCGCTCTCGCGCGGGAAATCTTTGCAATGTAGTCAAACGCCGTGCCGTTGACACACTCACGCAGAGAGAGGAATCACGCTTTCGCTTCGGCATTTCTCATTTTGCTTGGGAATTGCCCTGTCGCTCGAGATCTCCTCGCGCTCCACGTCCGCAACCCGCCTGCTCGACCTGGCCGCCCGGGCTCGCCTTCCCGACCCGCCCGCTAGGGCCTGCCCGCCCGATCTGCCCATCTGGTTCTACCACGTGCTTTCTGCTCCTAGCCCTCCTCCTGCTACTTTCCCTGGTGCTCCATTCTTCTCCCTCCTCCTTCCATCCGTCCTCTACTCCCTTCTTCTAGGGGCTGCACTGACTGCACGTGGCAGGCAAGGCAGGTATACCCCCCAGGGGGTACGATCGGAGACGAAGAGGGCGGGTACCGAGTGCTTGGGATAGACGTGCTGGATGGCATGCCAACAGACAGGAGCGGGCAGTCTTGAGAGAATGCCTCTTGGCACGGCTGCTTGGAGGGCGCCCAGCGCACCCCCGAACCCCTCGAGCGTGAGCCTCGCGTTCGAGGGACGTGGTGCCAGCGCCGAGGCGAGAGCACACCGGCGCGCCCGCGAAAAGGTCCAGCAGTGATGCCCACTGCCTACTGTGGAGGCTCGGCAGCAGAGCACTGCGCGGGGACAGGAGGGCCAGCAGCAGCCGGGGAGGGAAAAAGAGACGGGGCGAACCGGGGCCGTGGATCGGAGGAGAGCGAGCGGGACGGTGGTGATGCGGGGGAGGAGGGAGGAACGAAGCGGCAGAGCGGATGATGCCGAGGAGGGGCTGCGGCAACGAGCTCCTGTCCGCACAGGATCTGCCCGCGGCTCTGGCGCGTCATGGACTCGGTCATCGTCACCTCGCTGCCCGCCCGGCAAGCCATCCTCCGCCCGCGCCCGCTGCCCCTCGGGCGGTCCGAGGGAGGGGGGGGAGGATGAGGGGAGGGAAGGAGAAGGGCAAGGCGCGCAGGAGGAGGGGGAGGACGAGGAGGGGGAGAACGAGGAGGGGGAGGCCAGGACGCTGAGGGGGAGGACGAGGGGGGGGAGGAGGCGACCCAACGTAGAGGTACTCTTCTTGGCTAACTGAGACAACGCAAGTGCAACGCAACTGCACGCAATTCAATAGACTGCGCCGTAAGAGACAAGTCAGGTGCTTGCATATAACATGGTAAGGCGGCGCGTTGGCAGCTGTCGAGGGTAAGGACCTCCAACTGAGGTTACACGTGCTAGCTGCACTATGCCAATCTACTCTATGATTCCTACTTCCTGCTCTCAAATGGACATTCTCTACCATATAACCATATGTTATCTTGTCTCTCTCCTCTGAAATCGGAATATACCCCTTGCCGCCAACTAGACTACCCTCTACACTATAGTATCTGCTCTCGCCACTCCAACCTCTTCACTTTGTGTTATCTGATCTGTGCTTCTGCTTTCTTCACGATGCACTCTGCGCTCCTGTCCATGGTTTTGATACTCTAACCTCAACTAAATCCAGCTATGCTCCCTACGATGTACTCTATCTGCTCTCTCAGTCTCCGCCTCAGCCTCAGTCTCAGTCTCAGTCTCAGTCTCTCTGTCTCTCTGTCTGTCTCTCTCTGTCTCTCTCTGTCTCTCTCCCTCTCTCTCTCTCTCTTTCGCTCTCTCTCTCTCTCTCGCTCTCTCTATCTCTCTCTCTGAAGCAGTGCTTGCACTCAAGGGTTCATACTTGTGCTGCTGATGCACCTGGACGGGTTGGCCGGGGATGCTCCACGCTGCCGCCCCGTGCCGCCCCGTGGGCACCCGTGGGCGCCCCCGTGCGCTGCGCGGGCTGGCCGGGGCTGCGCCGCGTGGCCCATCGTGCCGCCTCGGTGTGCGCTCGTGGGCGCCCCGTGCGCTGGGTGGATCAGCCGAGGCGCCACGTTCCGGCCCATGCCGCCCCGTGGGCGCCACGCGCGCTGAGCTTACGCCACCTAGCGGTCAGCCCATGGCTTACACGACTTAGCTTGCACCGCATCGCGTCCTCTAGCTCAGAACGCATCTAGTACGCGTCATTGAGCGCACCACCTAAGTACACTACTTCGCTTGCACCAAATCGCCTTCACCTCCGTAGCTGGCACCACACAACTTACACGATATATACATCTATACATATATATAATAAAAAACAGATGTATGTACATACCGATACAGATGTATATACAACTATTCAACAACATGGCGTACACCGCATGGCTTCCACCTTCTCAGTGCAGTCCACCACCGTGACTGCACGATGTGGGCATGTTAGAATGCTAGGTAGTGCTCTGTAGGGTGTGCATTCTTATGAGGGGTCCCCCTCGACTGCCATAGTTCCGTATGACCCCTCCCCCTGCTTGCGACCGCGATCCCGTGTAAACGCAATGATGGAACCGCGCTCCCGAGGCTGCGACCCCTCTTAAAACACCAGTGTGTCCGCGTCCAGAGCTTCCAAGATGGCCCGGGCAAGCAACCAAAGTGACCAAGATGGCCCTAGATGCCTCGAAGACGGGTCAAGATGGCTGCAAGGCGGCCGCATCTGGCCTCAAGGCGGTCCACGCTACCCCCAAGAGGGCCTCCATCCAGCATGACCCGGAAACGCCTAAATCATTGATTTCCATGTTTGGCAAGTCCGCCAGCCGACCCTGTCGGCGTGTGGAAGACGCTGTTCTGTTTGAGTCGTCGTCGACGTCGTCGTCGTCGTCGCCGTTGCGTTTGACCGCCCTTCCCCTGGGCTCGTCGCGCTCCCCCCCTTTCACTGGGCCCTCCTCCTCAAGCGAGCCAGCCGAAGCGAAAGCAAGCAGAGCGAAATTCAGCAACGTCGTAGCTGAGTCGACAGAAAGCCCCTTCCCTTCGATCCCTTCCCCCCGGGGGGGGGGGGCCCAGGGGAGGATCCTGGGGGGGGGGGCCCGGGGCGGGGGGTCCTGGGTCAGAGTACCACCCTCCCTCGGGGGATCCTGGCCCCCCCCCCAAAAAAAACACAAGACAGCCTAAGAGGCCCCCAAAAGACAGTCCAAGAGACCCCCGAATCGCCAAACAACCAGTCCAAGACGCCAAAGATGACTTCCTGACAGCCCAAGCGGCTTCCAATACGCTCGAAGAGGCCTCCACAAGCACACCAAGAGGGCCCCAACAGGCAAAAATCCATGATTATCTGTTGGGCGTTTGCCAAGAATTCTGGCGTTCTCGCCTTTTCGGCTTCCCGGCGCCCCGAGACGTCCCAAGATGCAGCCAAGATCGGCACAGGAGGCCCCCAAGAGGTTTCCAGGACGGCCCCAAACCGACCCCAGAGGGCTCCAGGACAGCCCCGGGGGCCTCCCAGACTGCCCAAGAGGCCCCCAGAATGGCTCCAAGAAGGTGCCCACACAGGATCCCGAACGAACATTCCGCGCCCTCGGCCCCGAGATGCTCCCAGGAGGCCCCCAAAAGGCCCCCAAGAGGCCCCCACGAGGCTCCCAAGAGGCCCCCAGGAGGCCCGCAGGAAGCCCGAAGGGACCCCCAAGAGGCTCCCAAGAGGCCCCCAAGATGCTCCGACGAGGCCCCCAAGATGCTCCGACGAGGCCCCCAAACTGCCCCCCGCCTACGAGCGCACTCCGAAGAGGCCCCACGCAGTTAACTGAGGACTCTGCCCCACGTCGGCGTCGTCGCCGCCGACGCCGCCGTCGTGGGCGCTGTCCCCCTTCAGGGTCGTCAGCACCTGCCCGAAAACCTTCCTAAGAACAATGTTCGCATTCCCGCCTCTTCGGGCTGCTGCCGTCGGCTCCAGACGGCCCACGAAGCCTCCACGATGGCCCTGGGACGGCCCAAGACGCCCCAACGAGGGCTCAAAGAGGACCCCATG